TTCATTGCCAGAATCACAAGCCCCTGCTCACTTTGCTCGTATCTAAGGTCAAACAAAGCAAACCTCCAGTGTTCATTTACAGGACACTATTTACTGTGCAGCTGATAGACTATTTACTGTGCAGCTGACAATAGCAAACCAGACTGTTTTATTACAAATGAGAAAGATGGTGTATGCACGCTGTATGCATTTGGACAGTAACAGGAAATGATATTTGTCAAGAGAATATTTCTTTTTTCAATAAATAAATAAGTTTGTGGTAAATATGGAGCAAGATAGTGGTTGATTCATGTTCATAATGAGGTCCTGGTTTAGCTTTTTTAGGCTAGAACAATGCATTTGCTCAGTCAGATCTTAATGACTGGAAAAGGTTGCCACACATGCAAGTGAAAACAAACACAGTCCACAGCATTGTCCAACTATTGTTCTTTAACAAAGCGCAATTGATCTTATGAGCACTGTACATCACTACCGCATCAGTAGAAAACTTCATCCATCTTGTGCACTGAAAACTGAACTGAAAAGGCTGCTGTACTGCAGATTTCACTTACCCTAGAGCAGTACTGACCAAAAAAATGTGTTGTTTTGCCAGTACTGGCAAATTAATGTGTATTTTCATTGCTATTCACTATTACTTATGTGGATCAGAGCCTCTCAAAGAGAACTCTTACAGATGTGGACTCAGGACCCATATTTAAGCCTATCCAAAGTGGAATACTGATTTCAGTCTCAGCCTTTTCTTAATTATGTCAGATACACCTAGCCAGGTACAGGCAGTGTGATTGTGCTTCTCACAGAAGGACCCCTAGAGATATCTCACACTTTCCTACCAGTGCAAATACTGTTCGAATTATTTGGAAAACATTTAGATTTCTGGCTGCTTCCGAGATTTTAAAAGCCATCTCAATCAGACCTGCTTTGCACTGAGAGATCCACAATTAGGTTCCTAAATTCTCCTTGTGTGGAAATTTGCAGGAGCCATTAGACTCTCAAGTTCAATGTTCTGGAGCCTCAGAAATCTTTACAACTTTTGTTCAACTGTGATTTGAGCTCCCAGCTACCTAAATTTCTAACATTTAGCCTTGTAGACATCTTTGAATAAGTTTACACTGCAGTCGATGGAGAAGTCCTTACCTGAGAATTCCACATGCTAGGTCTGGACCCAGCACCATACAGCTGACTGAGCAGGCCAGGCTATTTCTCTATCCAGTAGGGACCTGAAAACCTGTGCAAAAGTTGATCTCTCTGTTTCTTTCCCAATAATCCAAGGGTAAAGGCTTTTGCCTGGGGGAAGGGAGATGTGTTTTCAAATTTCCCTGGTAAGCAAGAGTTTGAAATTAGACTTCCTTCCTCCCTAGAAAATGCATTTGGGAGTTCTGAGACAGAATTTCACAGTCCACCCTGTCAGGTTTTTTTTCTACTTTGCATAAAAAATTAAACTTTCTTGTGGCTAAAGAAAAGGAGAAATTGTCTTCGCAGAGTTGTAGTTAAAGCGATCACATTGGAAAGTCAGGTTTGAATCCCTATTCTCACGAATATTTAACCATCCTTCTTATACTGCATAAGCTATGGGGGCATTTCCCATCCTCTCTTCCCTCACCTCATATGCTAGCTTCATCAAAGAGCCTGGGCACCTGTGGCCTGAGAATTTAGTAAATGTCAAGATTCAAAAAATGAAGCATTCAAAGCTAAACCAAACCCTGCAAAGATCTTTCATGGTCTTGACTTTAATACCGCTGGCCTTCCTACCATTCCTAGACACCTCCAGAGTTGATCCAGTGCTAGCAACTGTCAGATATTTTTAGCAGCTGTTCTTTTTGCTGACAGAAGTAACAAAATGTATGATTTGCCAGTTAGAAGCGTCTTTGACTTGTTTGGGAGCCAACTGAGAGCTTCAGCATCCAATGAGCTCTGAGACATAGTGCCAGGAGAGCTATGCCAGCAGTTATCAGAGATGGATTGCTCCAAGAGCTTTAACTGTTCACTGCCACACTAAGTGATAAAACGCAGTATCTAATTAACTCTGTGAAGACAAATGCTTTTATTTGTATCCTAATCTAAGGTCACTAGGTTTTTGGCTATCTTGCACAGCATATCTTATTCTGCAAAAAACTATGTTTCTCGTAACATGACTGCAAAGTCCAGTCCTAGTAACCAAGTAATTTTGATGCTGTAAGCTACCATCAGTTTATTTGAAAAAGAAAGTTCCTGTTCTTTTTCTTATCCCTCATTTCCTGGGAGTGGGAAATTCATCTTTTGAGATGTGTAATGAAGTCAGATCTACTGATAATAGGCTTGTTATTCTCAGTTAGCTGTACCATACATCTTAAGAAGACGCACTTGGAGCTGCAGTAGTGAAGTCAATTAGCCTATGTGCTGATCAAAAGCAGAGTTTTGAACTATTACAATCACACCATGGGCCAATTTTTCTGTCAATACAAGTTGGCACAACTCTGAGATAATGGAGCTGTATAAATCCATATTCGTAGAGAACTAGGCCATATGTGTTTTCAAGAAAGAAGGAACATGAACTTCTAAAACATTTGGACAAAATCTGAAGGCTAACCTTAATTTTGTAAGAGCTCATCTTTAAAGTGAAGAAAGTGTAGAGAGAGGAAGGGATGCCGTGCAGAAACCCATTGCCTATAACCACACACAGTTTTCAAACCAGCATTTAAGAGTGATACAGCTAGCTTTTAACAGCATTCAACAGCATCCTGAGGGTGCAAGATATTGATGTATTTGAGAATTCTTTCAATCTTTAGAATTTAATTAAAGCATTGAATCATTGGCTAGAAGGGCAGATGAAATTTTATCTACATCCATTTTTTTTTAACTGCTTTCAAAGTACGGAACCTCTGATATGTCCTTCTGTGCGATCACTGGCCTTACATGTAGGATTGCCACATTTTACATTTCCTCTGAGGCTGACTTAGGGTGAGTAAATCCACCCTGTCCACCACAGAGGCACTGGCACTCAGTTGCACAGCTCAAGGACAACACAGTGGCGGCACCTCTGCCCACAGGCTTTGGGGTCCTCCAGGGAAATCAGGATGCAAATGGCAGGTGGTGCACAGTGGGTGCCCTGCGCGCTATCAGGAAGTTTAACCTGGTTAAACTTCCTGGCAAATCAGGAATGCTTGGTGCCCTGCTTCACAGGTTGTACTGTGCTGGATGACTCGTCGCTGGTCTGCAACCAAGAACAAAGTACATCGGGACCTGCCAAATTAGGGCTTCGGTAGTTTTCTGGACAGGAGCATGTTATAAGGGGTGGGGGGTGCCTGATGAGGTACAATTTGTTCGTCCTCTGTGCTAGTCGATTACTCTCCTGCTTTCCTGCCAAAACTTGGCAGGATGGCAGAGAGCAAGGGCGGAAACGAACCGTGGCAGCACCACAGAAAGGTGTGGGTTGTTTCTGGATCAGCCCGTGAAACAAACTCCGGAGGGCTGGGACGAGAAGGAGGCCATCTGCGGCAGGCTCCA